GGCATGGCCCCGCCCCCAGGCGGAGCGGGCACCGGAGCGGTAGCCGGAGAGCCGGCAGTGGGACCCCAGCGCGGGAGGCGGCCGCCGGGCGGGAGCCCTAGAGGTACCAGCGCGCGTGGGGGAGTGGAGTCACCACTGTCGGGCTGGACAGGGGAGAACGTGGACTGACGTGGGCTCGGGTGGTGTGTGTGTGGGAGGGGGATACTTGCCGCGTTAGCCGCCCGTACCTTCCCAACCTCCCTCCGGACTCCGGCTCCAGTCCTGAGTCGGAATGTCTAGTCCCTTGCCTCCAGCCCCCAGGCTCCCACTTTGTCCTCTGCTTGACGGCCCCACCGGGCCGGTGTGCGAGTGTGCGAGCGAGTGAATACGGCGGCCCCTGACTTCTCTCAGTGGCACTGGCGACTGCCCCTGCTGCTGGCTGTGTGCAGAGCTCCCCCTGTTTGGGGGCTCCCCTGCTCCCTGGGTGGCCTCCTCCCTAGTCTTTGCACACCACTCCCAGTCCAGGGCCAGGCCTAGGAGGAAACATCTGTCGCACCCCCTGGCAGCAGAAATGGGGTCATGACCTCCAGATGTGCTGGGAAGCATCCAGCGCCTCCTCCTGGGGCAGCCGGGCCTTCCGGATCTGTGGGGGCGGGGCCAGCCCCCCCTTCCCCAGTGACACAGGCTGGGAGGAATGTCCCGGCCTCAATGGACCCTGTGTGAAGCTGCTGGGTGGGGGGCAGAGCCCAAGAACATCCCCCAAGGCAGGGCCTGAGCCCGGCACTGGGCCAAAGCAAGAGCAGCCCATGGGCTGTGCACGTACACACAGGGAGCTCAGCTCACACAGAGCAGGGGACTGCACAGACCCCTCCCTCCTGTCCCCTTTCACCCCCTCCACACACCACAGTCCAGGCCCAAGAGCTTGGCACATGGAGCCAGGCCCTGCATCTGCCTCTACACACTTAACACATGGCCGGCTTCGCTCGCTTCACCCTCCAGTCTCCCCGCAGTGTTGCGAAGGAATGGGAATGGTTAAGCCCATTTTAGAGATGAGAACAGAAGCTCAGGGTCAGCATCAGAGCTTGTCTTAGAAGAAACAAGGGAGGAGGCACTTGGAGCTTTGGAGGCCTACCCTTGCTTGGTTCTGAAGCTTAGCTGAGGGGTGCATGGAGCCCCTGCCCCCACCCCCTCCTAGCCCAGCCCCAGGCAGTGTTACTGGATGATGTACACAGACCCACTAGCAGGAGCCTGCACCCCTAGTGACCAACTCCATCTTGGGTTCACTTGTGGGTGGCTCTCCCTTATGTTCTCACACCACTTTGCACCTGCCCCTGGCCTCAACACATTTCCGCACCTAGCAGGTCCCTGGGGCCTTGGGTGTCTCAGTCTTACATCCTGTGAGATCTTGAGCCTCAGCCCAACCCCCATCTGCCCCACACCTCTACACTCAGGGACCAGAGTGGGTGGGTACAGCACTGTTTAGTTCCCTAGAGATTGACAGAGCCAGGTTCACATCCTAGCTCTGACATGAGATTGCTTCAGGCAAGAGCATCCCCTTATCTGGACCTCAGCTTGACTGTCATACAAGGTTCGGACCTCCCTGTCAGCATCAGTGAGGCCAGATAGGAGGAGATCCCCAAGGGTCCCAGTTCCAGCAAAGGGGCTCAGTCATTGTGACTCACTCCCCTTCCCCCAGGCATGGCCACAGTAGCCTGCAAGAGGGTGAGCCAGGGCCTGTCCTTCAGGCCAGTGTGACTTGGGTCCCATGACTGAGCTGGTGTGACCCCACCACCTTCCTCAGGATGTGGGGCTGGGCAGGGGGCTGGGCCCAGAGTTGGGGCCACTTCCTGTGCCAAAGGAAGTCCTCTTGTCGTTCCTGTTGCCCTGCCAGTGCCCCCTGGGAACCTCTGTGTCCTTGAGGTTTTGAGGCCGTGAGGGCCAGGGCATTGAGACATGGCCTCTGGGTGCTCACCTCCTCAGGGACCCCAGAGGAAGTGGGAAGGGCAGGGAGGAAAGTCTCTGGGGACAGGACGTCCTCCCTTTGTCAAGTGGGCAGGACCCAGACACCAGTGGCCCCATGGGTTTCCCGTCCCAGCCGAGACAAATCATCTGTCCAGTTGGGCCAGGCCTTGGTGGGAACCCTCAGTCTGGGCCCAGGCCAAAGCCAAGGTGTGTGAATGGCAAATGGGGGACAGGCTCCAGATCCTCAGGGCCAAGGACCGGACAGCCTAGCCCTGGCCCTTCCCAGCACTAAGCTGGAGGAGGGGGCTGGAAACCTTAGCCGAGGCAGACGAGGAAGTGGCCAGGAAAGCGGAAGCGGCTTTGATGGTCTCAGAGGGGGCCGGAAGCCACCCGTGTGGAGGAGGACCAGGCTGGAAACCTGGGTTCCTGTTTTCTCCCCAGTCCCCTCTGAGCAGCCCCCTCCTCCCTCAGGGCAGGAACCAGCCTGCCGGCTGGGAACCAACCATCCAGCACACCCGTGCCCAATGCGGCCGGGTCCCCGGAAAGCCAGGCCCGCTGCACGCCCATGTGGGCCGGCGGCGCTGGGAGCCCTCGACGGGGCACGGCCCCTGCGCCCACCGATGACCTCTTTGCCCGAAAGCTGCGCCAGCCAGCACGGCCCCCGCTGACACCACATACCTTCGAGCCAAGGCCAACCCGGGGCCCCCTCCTGCGCAGTGGCAGTGACGCAGGCGAGGCCCGGCCCCCCACGCCAGCCAGCCCTCGAGCCCGTGCCCACAGCCACGAGGAGGCCAGCCGCCCTGCTGCGGTCCCCCCTCGACTCTTCACTGACCCACTGGCACTGCTGGGGCTGCCAGCTGAGGAGCCGGAGCCCTCCTTCCCGCCAGTGCCTGAGCCCCGCTGGTTCGCCCACTATGACGTGCAGAGCCTGCTCTTTGACTGGGCTCCAAGGCCTCGGGGGACAGGGGGCCACACAGAGGCCAGCTCTGGGACCCTGGCCTCGGCTGAGGACCGGACTGTCAGCTCAGACCTGCTGCTTGAGGCACCTGGTTTTGTGAGTGAGCTTGGGGGTGAAGGTGAACTGGGCCTGGGTGGGCCCGTGTCCCCACCTGTGCCTCCTGCACTGCCCAACGCAGCCGTGTCAGTCCTGGAGGAGCCACAGAACCGAACCTCAGCCTACAGCCTGGAGCACGCAGACCTGGGTGCTGGCTACTACCGCAAGTACTTTTATAACAAAGGTGAGAGGAAGGCGGCCGGGAGGGGCAGAGGTCCCTGTCACCTGCAGTACACACCAGTAGTACTCATGAGCTGTCCACTCTCTGTCAAGTCTCTGGCCGTGTGGAGGGTTGGCTCTGCCTCTGGGCCAAGGCTTCTCTGCTGGGCCCAGCTTTACCCACCTCCCAAAGGCCACCCAGCCTCCACCCCAGCCAGGCACGCCCCTGCTTCCATCTGGTTCATCTTCATACTCCTCTGGGCTGGAGAGAGATTTTGTACCTACATTTCTGTGAGGTGAAAACTGAGGCCTGAAAACCCCTGCAACCCAGGACCTGGTTCTGTTCAGTGTCCAGAAGGGAGGGTCCCAGACATCCTGGAGAATATGGGCATGCTGGGCAGGGTCATGGCAGGATCTAGGCGTGGGAGCAGACAGGCATTGGCCTCCTGGATCTGACAAGGTGTGACAGGGCAGAGATGCAGAGGGGCGTGGCATAGGGCCCGGGGTCCAGGCGCTGGCACTTGGCTTGGTAGGATGTGGGTGGAGCTTCGGAGGGCTGGGCCTTAGTCTAGGGTCTGCTTTAGGAGATGAGAAGGGGCCTGAGTGGGAACTTAGTGATGGGCGTGGTCCAGCGAGGGTGGGACTGCAGGGTTGTAGGACAGGTCATATGCTGTCTGCGGCCCCCCAGAACACCAGAACTTCTTCGGACTGGACGAGGTGCTTGGTCCGGTGGCAGTGAGCCTGCGGCGGGAGGAGAAGGAGGGCAGCGGAGGGGGCACTCTACACAGCTACCGTATCATCGTGCGGACCATACAGGTGGGCCGGGGTCATGGGACCAGACCGTGGATTTCATCCTCAACAACCCGTGTGTATCCTGAGTGCCCCTGCATTTCCTCCTCAGCTCCGGACTCTCCGTGGCACCATCTCAGAGGAGGCGCTGCCACCAGGGCCCCCGAAGGGCCTGTCCCCGCGGAAGCTTCTGGAGCATGTAGCGCCCCGGCTGAGCCCCACCTGCCTGCGCCTGGGCTCAGCCTCACCAAAGGTGCCGCGTACGCTGCTCACGCTGGACGAGCAAGTGGTGAGTGGCCGCGGTGCCCCCAGCCCTAATGCTAGACCTGGTCTGAACCCAGCCTGCCAGCTCTCATACACCTAGCCCTGACCCTGATCCTGGACAGGACTGTGACCCCAGGGAAGCTGGCTTTCAGTGAGAGGGTATCAGAGGTCATCTGGAGCCTTGCCTCTATAAATAAGATCTAGACCAGCAGCATCCACACCGTCTTGGAGCTTGTTAAAATGCAGATACTTGGGCCTGGCCTCAGAGCTAGTGAAAGAAAGCCTGTACTTTAAGAAGATCCAGGGGAGTTGGGGTTTAGGAGCTGGGGTGGAAGTGGGGCTGCAGGGGATGGGGGGATGAAATTAAAGTGGGGACTGTGGTTACAGACAGGATTAGATGAAGAAGGGAGGCAAGAGCTGGGGGCAATGGGTCTTGTTTGCATGGGGTCATAGTGCCTTGAACTGTGCAGTTAACTACAGATGGGAAGGAGCCAGGAGCAAACAATGAGCAGGGGCAGTGTGGGACTCAAGGCCTCCATAGGCTGGGGGTGTGTGTGTGCCTGGGATTTGAGGGGAAATGAGGAGGATGACTTTGAACATTTATTGGGACTGAGCACACCATGTTCAGGGCCCTTTCCATGAATCACCTCCTCTGTGGCCGCAGGAGAACCAGCCCCTCCCAGTCCTGTCCACTTGTGACCTCTACTCTCCTGAGCACTGGGAGCAGGACAGACCAAACCCACTTGATAGGCAAGGACACAGAGATGGCTTAGAGAGGTTGGCCCTCAGGGCCAGGCAGCAAGGCAGCCCAGCCTCCAGGCCAGTGTCCCATCCAATCCCCAAGGCCTGGTGGGGGTGGGACTGGGAGGGACTGAGGCCTGTGCTTTCTGCCTGTGCCCTCCCTGGCCCCCCTCCCCCAGCTGAGCTTCCAGCGCAAGGTGGGCATCCTGTATTGCCGGGCGGGCCAGGGCTCAGAAGAGGAGATGTACAACAACCAGGAGGCGGGACCGGCCTTCATGCAGTTCCTCACCCTGCTGGGCGACGTGGTGCGGCTCAAAGGCTTTGAGAGCTACCGGGCCCAGTTGGACACCAAAAGTGAGGACCAGGGCCCTGGGGGTTGAGGGGTGGGGGTAGACCCGCCTGAGGAGCAGGATGCCTTGGTGAGAACCAACTGTCCTGTCACTTCTCTGTCTCATATTGTCCTAGGGTTGGGGCCAGGAGTGGCGAGTTCTTAGGGTAGGCTGGGGACATGGGTCAGGGGCTGCAAAGGCCAAGCCATGGGCTAGGAGGAGGGGCTGGGACTGTCCCCAAGGCCCTGGGGCCTACTGCCTCAGCTGGGGCCAAGGAGGCTTGGGAGCACCACCCCCTCCATCAAACACACATATTCCAACAGCTCAGGCTCCTGAGAGTGTCCTGCCTCCTGGTTGGAAGGGTGCCAGGACCCGTGGGAGGCGTTTTTATTGAGTATCTCCTGCCTGCCTTCCACTCTTGCTGCTCAACACATGCTGGTGCCTGGGCCAACATCTGTTCTTTCCTAGGACATCTGTCCTGACTCTCTCTTGGCAGGCCATTTCTTATTTCTGTCTTCATTCTATCTCAGCACCCCCAATCTGACCCCAGGCTAGAGGCTGGAACCTTGGGTGGAGGGGAAGTGGAGCAACCCAGGCTGAAGACCTCATAGCCTGGACATTGGCTGGGGGCATGAAGGGTTGTCCACCTGCTGGTTGGGGGCACAGAGGCTCCAAACCGCAGGCAAGGATGGTAGGTTCAAGCCAGCCAGGTGACCCTTTCTCTCCCTCTGTGTCCCAACTCCCTGGCCACAGCGGATTCCACGGGCACACACTCGCTCTACACCACGTACCAAGACCATGAAATCATGTTCCACGTGTCCACAATGCTGCCGTACACCCCCAATAACCAGCAGCAGGTGTGAGAGGTCTGGGGAACCATGGAGGGGTGATGTGGGGATGGCAATATTTGAGCCTTGGCCTGAGCTCTGTTGACCTCCAACAACCCTCCCAGCTGGTAACCCTCCTTAAAGACAAACACCCAGGGGCAGATGGTGGAACCCCTGGTGCGCAGGCTCTGCCCTGCCTGACTGAATAGGAGGGACTTGGAGGGCAGACAGGTCCCACTCACATCCCCCTGCATCTAACCCCCAGCTCCTGCGGAAGCGCCACATCGGCAACAACATTGTGACCATCGTGTTCCAGGAACCAGGCAGCAAGCCCTTCTCCCCCACCACCATCCGCTCACACTTTCAGCACGTGTTCCTGGTGGTGCGGGCACAAGCGCCCTGCACTCCGCACACCTCCTACAGGTGGGTGCTCCGGTGGTCCCAGTTCTGCCACCTGCAAGGCTTCCCGGATCCTTCCTGTTGCCCCTGACTACCGTCTTCCTCCCATAGGGTGGCTGTGAGCCGCACCCAGGACACCCCGGCCTTTGGTCCAGTTCTGCCCCCAGGTGGAGGCCCTTTCCCCGCCAACGCCGACTTCCGGGCGTTCCTGCTGGCCAAGGCGCTCAATGGCGAGCAGGCGGCAGGCCACGCACGCCAGTTCCACACCATGGCCACGCGCACGCGCCAGCAGTACCTACAGGACCTGGCCACCAATGAGGTGACCACCACGTCGCTGGACTCAGCTTCCCGCTTTGGCCTGCCCTCCCTGGGCGGGAGGCGACGGGCGTCCCCTCGCAGCGCAGGTGCCGAGCTGCAGGCGCCTGGCGCGCTGGTGTGGGGAGTGCGCGCGGCACCGGGGGCACGGGGCTTGGCCGGTGGCCAGGCGGGCAGCGCCGATGATGCGGAGGTGCCCTGCCTGCTGGGCATCTCTGCTGAGGCTTTGGTGCTGGTGGCGCCACGCGACGCCCGCGTAGTCTTTAACTGTGCCTGTCGCGACGTGCTGGCCTGGACCTTCTCGGAGCAACAGCTCGATCTGTACCATGGCCGTGGGGAGGCGATCACCCTGCGGTTCGACGGGCCCCCTGGGCAAGCTGTGGGCGAGGTGGTGGCGCGCCTGCAGGTAAGACCCAGGAACGAGGGCGGGGCGAAAGGGCGCTGCCGGGTCCCTCCGCGCGTCTGGGGCGCAGCCTGCTGTGGAACCCATTCCCGCTGCCTCTCTTGCGAAAGGGGGAGCCAAGGGGGGCAGTCCCAGCCCGAGTTTAGCGAAGCTGGAGCTGTGGGGTCCTCGGGCAGGAGACCTGGTCTCCGAGCCGCGGGACCCTCACGCTCTGCTGGGGGGCTGGGGGTGGGGGGAAGGGCTGTGTGGCCTCGGACGAGGTTGCTGGGGTGGCCCCGCCTCGGGTCGGCCCCCTTATGCCACGCCCCGCCCCAG